TTCCTGAGACCTCAGGATGGAAGATTGCTGCTGCCACCAGAGGGACTCAGAAATACGACGGTAGGAGCCGAGCATCCCCGAACCGGCCAGACTTGCCGGTGAAGACGTCTGACTTTCAGGGGCTGCCTTCAGGATTTCTCAGGTGCTGCGTTATCCGCTCCCATGGCTTGAGGGCTGGGCTCGGATATGAGGTTTATGCGCTCTCTCCTCTTATCATGCTGATGGGGGAACAGATTATGAACTTAGTCATCCTGCCTGTTCTCCTCGGTTAATGCAACTGGGCAGCAAGCCGTGCGTTTTGTACCGCGCAAGGTACAAAATGCTCATCAAATCGCCTCTATTTCACTGGCTTTCCTGGTATGCAATCACACAATGAGCACCAAAACCGACTGCTAAAATAGGAGTTAAAACGTTAACGATTTGCTCGCACTCATGATTAAATTGTAATGTGGGGCTTTTGAGCATTTATTGCAAATTTGCTTTCAAAAAGTGGGGAGAAAGATGGTAAAAAAAAGTGTGATTGAAGGTGAAGTCTGCAAAAATTCAGTAAGGTTCAAATGGATTCTCCTGTGTCTGGGGAAAACAACCACTCTCACTTGTCCCACAAAGAACCAGCGTTTTCTCTTTTCAAGTGAAAGCAGAAAAATTGCCATTGCTGCAGTAGATGATCGTACCTTAGATTAAAGGAAGGAAAGAGCACTCAGGATGAAACTGCATTTCTTTCACAGTCTGTTTTTTTTTCTGTGTGTCATAAAAACCTAAACCCTAAGGGGTGTTGGAAAAGATTTTCTAGTGATTAAACTATTTTCTTTCTTGTAAAGCATGTATGGAGTTTTGCAGTGACAACCTCTGTCCCAACAACAAAAATGCTGTTGCCTTTCCTAAAATTACCATTTCCCATTTTGCTGAAGATCTAGCTGTGTCACTAAACCTGCAGCAAAATTTCATTTATAATTAAAAAACCCACATTAAAACCCACAGGATTACAACGATTTGGGTATGATAAATGATCCCAGGGTACACACAGATGCATGTGAAGCATCTGAGATGTTTCAGATTTACCATAAGCGACAAGATACGTAGAGTTTGCAAAGTCCCATCATCTGGATTCTGGTTATGTGTCTATCTCAATTTTGATACTCCTTTGTAGCCTCTGTGGCTGTGGAGACAAGATGTGGTTTTAATCTCATGGTTTTGGGAGTCCTGACTCATCCTTTTCAGTGTTGAGGACAGGTAATACCTCTCCCCCACGCAGAAAAGAGCCCGAGCTGCTTTACAGCGGTTTTGCGTGGCCTGCACTGGCTCCAGGGAGACATGCTTATGAAAACTGAGGTCCTACCAAACCCAAACCAACACCCTCCCCAAAATACTCTGGGTGAGCTGCAGGCAAAGCTACCCCTTAGGGGTAACTTAAAGGTTGTGTCAGCCCCGCACAGGACTCTGCTATAGACAGGCAGCAGCAATGCCCTTCCAAAGCTAACTACCGGATTAATTTGGTTCTGTTGTTAAAGGAAGATACAGAAGACTGTCTCCTCATTTCCAAAACATGAGCACACCCATAAAAGTGAAGGCTTGCCCAATTACAGACAGGAGGAACTCAGCTAAAACATCTGCTCTTGCGGGATATTTATGAAGTGGGTCAAACCTACTGACTTTTGGCAGCGTAACTGGTCCGATGGGACAATCAGCGGGATGTTGTTTATGTAATTCATCTTTTAAATTGAGCTCTGATCCCCAGGAGTAACGAGAGGCTCCCGAGGAGTCGTGTTTGTGAAGGTCTGCACCGTGTCGTGCTTCCTGCGCTGCTGAAGAGCTGTCATTCATCACACACAGCAGCATCCTCTGATTGCTGGCCAGTTTTGCGTGTTAAACAGGCTCTCCTCTGCCCCAATGACATGCTTTGTGGGTGTCATCAAATTCACTGGTTCTCTCGTTAGAGTAACCTCGTACGGGTTTATCAGAGCCTGATGGGAGAGAGGAGCAGCACTGGGATGGGACCGGGCTGAAACACATACTGGTTGAAAAACCCGATGAGTGACAAGTATCCAATATTTCGCATTTCATCTGGATGGATGCTCCTCCATCAGCCCTTTGATGTTTAATGCTCTGATGATGTGGCACAGAAAGCACATCCCCTACGCGCCGTTCGTGATGCTGGGCAGAGTAGCAGAATCCCTTCTGGGGACTGATGGGACGTCTTGGGAAGCATACCCCAAATCAAGCCCTTCTGTTTGCTTATCCCCACATTAGGTTATGAGTGTAGATCTCATCTGCTCTGCATTTTCACCCCTTTTTTTTCTAGGCACGACTCCTTTTCAGCTTCCCCTTCTTACTAATAACTATGTTTTTAGACTGTTTGGCTTTAGATGTTTTAACGTGTTTTTCTTAAAGCAGAAATTGTATTCCCTAATACTCTTTTTGATACCTATACAGCTCTTCCATCATCTGCTTCCCCTTACGTACCTGTTAATAGATATACACTATGCCTTGCAACTATTTCATACATGGTAATCATCCATCCTATAGCAGCCTTGTAGTGCTGTGGCGGGTAAGTGGCCTTCCAAGGACCTTCTCCTCAGGCCAAGCAATGGAAATCAAGATGCATCAGCACTGTGTCAGCTCAGGATCCAAATCAGGGTGGGTTTTTCTTTCTATAGCCATAAGGAAATACTGTTTTTTTTTTTTCTCGGGGGTGGGCACATGGCATGTGCAACACCTGGAAGGGATGCAGCCATGCTTGGCTCTGCCAGGATGTCTGTCTGGCTGCACGTTACGCTCCCCGAGAGCAGGACGGCACAGCACACCTCGCAGATGACGCACGTACTCCAGCCTTCCCACACCGCCTTTTGAGTTAAGTCTTATCTTTGTTATTCTTATATGGGAGTGACTTCCAGCCTCGGAAATGGGAAGCAAAGGAAAAGTAACAATGACTTCAGAATGAATAATTAAAAAATGAATTAGTTCCTGAAAAGTTGTTCCTAAAAGCTGTCGAAGCCCGCTCACCCTGCCAATTCCCAACATGAACTGTGTGTTAGTCCCCCTGTTTCATAAGGAAAGGGGCACCATTAGGTCTATCTATACTGCCCAGCTTGCTAGCCTACACAACACTGGAACATGACAAAGTGGTCACCAGTGTTTCGAAGACAGTCCTGTGGTTAAAAGCAATACGAGCAATTCTAAGGCGAGTTACTTATTTCCCCCTCCCTGAAAAGCACCCCAACAACTGCATCTATAAGAAGAATGCCTGACTCCAGGCACAGGAACGTGCTTCCCTGGTCTTCATCCAACATGTGCCCTGAAGGGTTTATTTTTCTGCTGTTAGTTGAGTGCATAAAATCCAGCGTGTTGCTGTGCTGTGTTCTCTGCTCCCAATCCTTGGCTGCGGTGTTGGCACTTCATGTCTCTGCTTTAGCACAAACATACCCTAAAGTTTGGTGTGTGACACGAGAGGATCACCCAAGGGCACAGGAACCCAGTAACACTGCAGGGCTGGAGCGGGACTCCTCTCAAGCGGATGGGGGTCAGAGTATGCCATAAGAAAGTGGAAATGACTGTTCCTTAAGCAACTGCCTGCAGTTTCAGAAGTCCCTGGGCATCACCAGCTGCTGACAATAGTTTATGCAACTCGTATCGTGCTTTACTTATCCCCAGAGTCTGTCCCAGCACAGGAAAGAGGAATATTGAACCCAACTTCATAGAATCATAGAATCATAGAATGGTTTGGGTTGGAAGGGACCTCTAAAGGCCATCTAGTCCAACCCCCC